TTTTTTTTGTGTCTGTTACCACTTTTTCTCAGCTCTCACCGAACGGATTTCTTTCAACGATACGTCAAAAGATCACAAATCGTATCTAGTCGAAGACATTATCCTCAAAAATTGAAAAAAATTCTCTCGTTCCCCGTAAATAGGGGAAACCTCCAAAAAAATTACAAATTTAAAAATCGCTAATTTTTGAAATTTTTTCAATTTTTTTTACTAAAATGTGCAATAACTTTTTCAAAAATGAACATATCAATATAATTCTTTTTTATATGGATGCATAATATCATTACCTTTCATTTGGTATATTTTTTTCATAAACTCTTAACCTGCCCACAAGGGGGGATTTAAAATGACAACTTTTTCAAAAAAAATTAACTTTTTCAACTTAACTTTTGAAAATGTTCCGGAAAGACTGACACTTTTATATATATTTTAAATTAAAGCTAATATAATATATTTTATTATGGAAAAAAAAAATTTCGGACTTTATTTTATCTTCATGGTAAAAATCGCTACCAAATGCTATTATTGTGTGAAAATTCTCGATTTTATTTTTTACATTTTTAACTTTATAATGATATAACTTATTGAAAAGTGTATGGATCAACATAATTTTTTATGAGAAACAATATTTATTAATAATCCCTTTTTCATTCAGAATATTAATAAGAAAATAGCAGATCATGTAGCCTTTGCAATAATATACCAATTTTTTAAAATTAAACACTATCTAAAGATTTTCATCGAAGCGTTTTTTTTTTTGATAGTGATTTTAATCACTGTCAGATATCATTATACTTGATCCAACTATTTCATGTCACCACTATGCCGCGACCTCTCGGTGCTGGGTTTTTTAGATTTGAACCCCCCTCGTTATAAATATACATGTAATATAATATACAAAATCGAAAATTTTCACTCAAAAATAGCATTCGGTAGCCATTTTCACCATGAAGATAAAATAAAATCCGAAATTTTTTTTTTCCATAATAAAATATATTATATTAGCTTTAATCTAAGATATATATAAAAGTGTCAAACTTTCCGGAACACTATCAAAATTTAAGTTGAAAAAGTAATTTTTTTGTGAAAAAGTTGTCATTTTGAACCCTCCTCTGTTGACAGGTAAAGGGTCAGATTTATAAAAAAAATATACCAAATGATAGGTAAAACATTATGCATCTATAAAAAAAAAATTATATTGATTTGGTTATTTTTAAAAAAGTTATATCATACATTTATCTAAAGTTATAGCATAATAAAGTTAAAAATGTAATATACAAAATCGAAAATTTTCACTCAAAAATAGCATTCGGTAGCCATTTTTACCATGAAGATAAAATAAAGTCCGAAAATTTTTTTTTACATGATAAAATATATTATATTAGCTTTAATTTAAGATATATATAAAAGTGTCAGACTTTCCGGAGCACTATCAAAATTTAAGTAGAAAAAGTAATTTTTTTGTGAAAAAGTTGTCATTTTGAACCCTCCTCTGTGGACAGGTAAAGGGTCAAATATAAAAAAATTATATACCAAATGAAAGGTAATAATATGATGCATCTATAAAAAAAAAAATTATATTTACGGGAACGAGGAAATTTTTTTCATTTTTTGAGGGTAATGTCTTCGACTAGATACGATTTGTGATCTTTTGTCATATCATTGAAAGAAATCGGTTCGATGAGAGCTGAGAAAAAGTGGTAAAAGACACAAAAAAAAACAAATCATTGTAAAATTAATACCTTCTCAGCTTCGCATCGAAGCTAATAATTAAATTGTTAACTATATAAAATATCATTGTAAAAAATATTTTCTTAGATTATTAATATGATTTTTTTTTTACTTTTTACTTACTTGCGGATTCTCCTTTATGTGCATTAAGAAACCCTTAAAACACCTTCCTGCACTAAATAAACAATCAATACGATCAATATAACCATCACAAGCTAAAACGGAAAAATAATGTTGTAATTTTTCAGTCTTATTTTCTTCATCCTCCATGAATGATTCAAAATAGTACAATAACGTAGCTACATAATCTTTTCTAAGCGATTCTGCAATTTTTCCAACAATTATAAGTTATTATTAAATAATCCTTTCAAACATTATAAACGTAACAGGCACAAATAAAAAATGCCAACATTTTAAGCAAATTAAAATCGTTATTTTTACAAAATATATTTCATAGTCTCTTTGGGAAAACCACATTGTTTAATTTTTCAAAAATATTTAGACGGAAGAAAATAAAATAAAAATAATTCTGTACATCAAAAATGGAAAATAGATTTTTTAATACTTCATTATTTTAAGGAACTATTTTTAAGGAAAAATATAATTTTTTTAGTTCAAATAATCTTAAAATATTTAATATATATAATTTTAGAAAAAAACTAAGTATTGAGTTACGCGGTCTTGGCATAAAGACAACGATTTCCTACTTTTCTTGATTCGAAGAATTTAAAATCTACAAATACATAAATAATTTTTTTCTCTTTTTATTTTGTACTGTATAAAAAAAATTGTTAAAATATTTCAATTTTATTAAAATACTAAGCTTTAATATGCTTAAATATTTTTTCTAAATCAGTGAAAAATGATAAGTAAATTTGAAAAATTTAATTTTTCTGAAGGTTATAGTATAATTTACATATTATTAAATATTTAATTACTTGTAAAGTTACATATTTAGGTTTTTTTTAGATTTTCTTATTTTTAAACAATTTTCAATTTAACTACTGTTGGGTATTTCTATAGTACGTTTTTCATAGATTCTATTCTAGATAACTTATTGGTAATGCGCAAGTAATACAATATACGAAATCAAACTTGAATAAATATGTTTTAGTTTTTGGATTCATTATTAATATTTTAATTCATATTCATTTTTAATTTATGATAATTTGAAAACTTATTTAAACTTATAAACTTTATTTAAAACTTTATTAGCTAAATTCGCTATCTGAATGATGGTTACATTATTTATTCCGATTAATTTTTATAAATAAATAAATAATCATAAAATTATTTACCATCTGCACACAAAATATGTTTCCCTATGTTTATGAATACAAAACAGCGATGTATAAGTTTTTCTGTTTGCTTAAATTTTAAAACATCTGCTGGATCAGGTACAAAAGTTGATACATAGTATATACAACCCTATGTCATAAAATAAAAATTTTAGTTATTAATTAAAAATAATAAGAATTTTGTAATTATTTGAAAATTGCTGTTAATTTCTGTATTTTGTAAGTAAAAAATTATAATAATCATGACTCAAAAATTCATTCAAACGTATTTTTGTTTTAAAGTACATTAAAATTCTATTTTACCAAAAATTATAATGACTTACTTAAAAAATACTATAATATAATTGCGTTTTAGTTATATGACAAAAAAAACTACAATTTCAATCTGCTAAGATATAATAAAAACAGATTTTTCAAATATTCAGTTTTAAACATCACAGATTTATACGACTAGTTAATCAACTAAATTTCTCTCCGTATTTCAAAATTGTATGGTAAAATATAATTTTTATTTATCGACTAATTTAAGTTCTTTGTCCATTGTGGCCTTTTAATAAATAATCACTCATATTTTTTAAACATATAATTATTAAATTATTGTGTGAGGCAATCACTCTTTGAATTAAACGTAAATGCTTAATCTCATTTTTATCGAATAAAAATTTAATTTTAGAAAATAATTACCAAAATAAAAAAAGTCTGTAAGTACGTATACCTCATTTTAATTGAAATATGTACCTGAAAAAAATTATCATTTCACGTTATTGAATAAAATTAATATTTGTTTAAATTTAATATAACTTTGAACACATGAATAATAAACTGTAATTTGAAAATTATAAATGGTATAAAGTATACAAAGCTATTTATTAAGATTATTATGTCCCCTATAACTCCATAATTATGAATAAATCAGATTTATTATTTTTATATCAATTATATTAAATTGATGTCTTTAACAAATGTCTTTTAAGGATAAAAACTACTTTTTTTTCTAATATATTTATATATATATTTTTTTAATATTCTTAATCACTTGTAATTTTTACATAACTTTTGTATTTGAATGAAAAATCGAACATGTGTTTATAGAGTTATTTAATTTTAAATTATGTCATATTTTTTATTTATTGATAAAGTACAGGTAGTGCAGGCCATTAAATATTAGATGAACACATATAAATTATCAAAGATATATGACGAATTTTTTTCTACTTATTTGTATTCATCATTTTTACTGAAAAACATATGAAACCTATTTGAGTAAATCTTGTAAAAAATGATTATAACGTGTAGAAATAAATTGTATGACACAAAATTTGAAAATATTATTAACATAATTATTAACATAATTCAAGTTTCATTCCACATAATTTTAAATTTTATGGTTAGTTTTAGAAAGTGTTACTATTTCATTATAAAAAAAGCTTCTCTACTCTCTATTATAATTTAAGTCAGTCAGGAGGATAATATCCGAACCTCTTATTTTATTTTTGGATCTTAAAGTACGACACGTCTACATGATAAATGTCTAAAATATTGTTAACAAAATTTTCGTAAAAACCCGTTAAGTTTTCTTAATGTTAAGTAAAAACTAAAACTATAAATATCGACTGTATTGTAAAGATTATAATTTTTGGAGACATTTCCTAAGTTATGAGAATTAGGAAAAATGTTTTCAAGTTAAAACACTGATAACTTCAACTATATAAATTTTGTGATTTTTTGACATATCATTAAACAAAATCGTTCTAATAAAAGCAGAAATTTTATATACACACACGAAAAGAGGATAAACATAGATGATATCTAACAGTGATTAAAATCACTAACATATAAAACGCTTCAATGTGTATATAGTGATTAATTATTAGAAAAAATTATTGAATTATTCCAAATGCAACATCAACTCTTATTCCCTCATTGATATCCTGATTACAAGTTTTATAATTTTTAAGTGTAATACAAGAATAAATATATATTATGGAAATTAGATTTAGTATGAAATTGATAACATAGTATTGTAATATATTTACAGTGAAATTTAAAAAAATGATAAGTTTTATACTTTGTCACCTCTATAGCAAATGTGTATCGAAATTGTAATTATTCTGAGTTTCAACAATTAATCATTATTTCAGTTATAAATTAAAATTGTGCTTTATAAAAATAAGAACATTTTTTTAGAATAGGCTGCCCCCTTCCATTTAATATACTTATTGGATTGACATTAAAAGCTGCATATTTCTCCCTAGAATTACTTAAATCATTTTTACTTATTTACTTTTTTTGTAAAAGAGCGAATTAAATAGAGGTATTTACCCCCTACCCTCATCCTATATGACTACACTATTTGACTTAAAATATAGGTGTAAATAATTGAATAAGAAAATAAACCATCACGAAAAACAGTAATTTTTTACACCAAAATAGTATTTTTTGTTTAACTTTAGGGATCGTTTACATGTAGAGAAAAAACCCAGCAGGGGGGGAGTCGCGGCACAGTGGTGACGTGGCATAGTTGGGTCAAGTATAGATGATATCTGACAGTGACTATCATAAAAAACGCTTTGATGCATATCTTTATGTAGTATTTAATTTTAAAAATTTGGTGGATTATTACAAAATCTACATGATCTGCTAGTTCCTTATTTATATCCTGGTTGAAATAAAATATATCGAATGAAAAAGGGATATAAATATTATTTCTCATGAAAAAATTGTATTGATCCATTCACTTTTCAATAAATTAAAGCATTATAAAGTTAAAAATGTAAAAAATAAATTTGTAATTTTTTTGGAGATTTCACCTATTTACGGGGAACAAGAAAAATGATTACAATTTTTGTGGGTAATATCTTGGACTAGATACGATTTGTGATCATTTGACGTATCGTTGAAAGAAATCGGTTCGATGAGAGATAAGAAAAAGTGGTAACAGACACAAAAACACATTATAGTAAAACTAATACCTTCTCAGCTTTGCATCGAAGCTAAAAGTAGTCATCGATCTAGTAACATAAATTTTAATTTAACATATGTCTAATCAGTTTTTTAGAAACATTTTCGAAACTTAAGTTGAAAAGCTTAAATTTTTAAACAAAAGATGTTATTTTATATTCTCCCTGTGAACAATTAGAGAATCATATTTTATTTCAAAATTATACTTAATAATATATAAATAGTATTAAAAAAATATTTTTTTTTTAAAAGTTTTGACAATTTAAAGTACGTAACATAAGCTTTAATTTATCATACATTTAATGTATCAGAGTATTTTTAAAACATTTACAAAACTTAAGTTGAAAAAGTTTTTTTATTATACGTTATAATACTTAATATTCTTTTGTTAAAAAAAAAATCACATCATAGTAAAGTTTATAAAACTTAATTTTGCATTGATACAAAAAACAATAATTTTAAGCATTACAAAATTCTATTATCATAGCAATGGAAACTCAAACCTGGCGGTAATGTAATATTATTTTAGCTATAATTGTATGTACATTTATCAAACTATTTCAGTAGTAATAATTTTCTACCAAATATTTTATAACTTACCTTTATAATACAAAATCTTCAATTGTATTGAAATGTGAGTTTTGAAGTGCACAAATAGTATGACATAAGTAATATATATATATATATATTTTTTTTTTTTATTCGCTTTGATTTGTAGCTTAGATGTTATTGATTTTACTTTGGCCTGATATTTTGAACTGTTGATTTAAGTGTGACGTTAATACTAAAATAATTGTATTTTATCAATTGTTGTACTAAATAAAAAAAATCATCAAAAAGTGATTTTAAATTAATTTTATCAAATTGAGGTCACATTTGTAAATGCTAATTTAATTTTTCAAAAAAATAAAAAATGTTAAATTAGTTAAATATGGTTAAGGTGTATAAAAAGTGTGATGATGATGTGGAAAAAAATTAGTAAGAGTTTTTTGAAAAATTACTGAATGAGGAGTAACTAAAAGAGACATATGTCTTTGAGATATCTCAGAGGATATCTCGTGGAATGAGGGACTGGTAGATTTAATTAATTGCAGGTGGTTGAAATGGAGAGAAACGTCTGGTGTGTTATGTGATAAAAGAATTATAATGAGGCTAAAAGGTAAATTCTATAAGACTGAAGTGAAACCAGCTATGTATGGTTCAGAGTGTTAAGCAGTTGATAAGAAAGTAGAGCTGAGAATGAGTGCTACACTCATCTCTGCTACAGAGATGAGAATGCTTGTGATTGGAGTGAATAGTGAAGATAGGATAAGGAGCAATCATATACGAGGGAGTAGAGGTGTATCGTCAATCGTGGATAAGATGAGAGAAAATAGACTTAGATGGTTTGGTCATGTTATGAGTAGAGAAGAATCGGAAGCTGTAAGAACAGTTATCGAAATAAATGTTGAAGGAAGAAGAGATAGAGAAAGACAAAGTAAGAGATGAAGGGATGCTATTGAATGCGATATGAGGACAGCTGATGTGAGCGCAGATGATGTGGGAGATCGTGTCAAGTGAAAGTTTAGGATAAGGGTGGCCGACCCCAAGTAGTTGGGATTAAGGTGAGGAAGAAGAAGAAGAAGAAATTACAAGATTTGAGACCATTTAGATATGAAAATGAAATTACAAAATTATTATTAATATAATTCATTATGTCTTTATAAAATAAAATAATAAGAATTTTATTTCATTTAAACAATGTAAATTATATACCTAAATAACAATATTTTCTTTAATATTGTTTTGGTGTTGATGAGTAGAGAAGATTGGAATATATTTGATTGCGGGGTACATATATTTTGTGTTAATAACATTAATATGGTTACTTTGAAATAATATAAAAAAGAAAAATTATAAACTATACTGTTTTACGCATAATACAGCTTTATCAGCTTCTTCCGTCTGTTCATTAGTTTTTAAAAATACAGTTTATTGTTACTTTTATCGTTACATTCTTTAAAATTATAAATAAAACGTTAATTATTTAGTTTCAAAATAATATTTTCTATCCTTATACCTTGATATTTAATTTTAAATAAAAATATAATTATAAAATTAATTAAACTTAAAAAGATTTAAAAATGAAAAAATAAAAGAGATATCTGGACGACTTTGCACAACAAATACTTAAAAGCGCCACAGATAATTTCAGATAAATTAAGATAAATTAAGAGTGTACGCTTTTATGATTGTGATCCAGAATTGTAAGTTTTGTAATGTTATTAAATTTATAATAAATAAATAATTATGCAAACATTGATTTTTCTTATATTTAGAAAGAACAATTGAGGCGTCCATCGGTCAAGAGGTTTGAGTTCATTTTTTCCTATATTATCGTTTTAAAAATATTATGTTATATGTATAGTGGATATGTGCTACTATATTTTATTTTATTTTGATCATAATTAACAAATTTATCATTGATATATTATTATTCGTGTTTTTAATTTACTACATACACATGATAACAAAAAAAAAAAAAATTAACGTTTACAATATTTAAATAAATCCTATGTGAAATTTTGCTGATGATTCCAAATCCGGTTTCAAATTTGTTCAACACATGTAGTTTCTAAGATAATTACTAATTAGTATTTAAGTGATAATTACATATTTAATCACCATTTGGACAAATTACCAGATACCTTGGTTGACGTTAGTGAAGAAACATAGAAATTATTTCATCAGGATATAAAACAGATGGAAAACGTTCCCAAAATCGGGAACTGCTATTTTTAACATGCTTATATTAGTTTCACCTGTGTGTGTGTAATCACCACGCGCCACGTGTTATTTCTCGCGTACCCCGTCGTCTATGACCTTGAGAATAGACTGTCGTAACGCATTCACCCCACCCCGCTCGCCACACGCCGTCAGCACTATTCCTGTATAATTTTATTTTTGGTTTTCGTACCCGTACACGCGTGCATGTCATAAATATAATATATTTATATGTACAGAGTGATTTTTTTACCATAACCCACTCAATTACTTGCAGAATAATAATAATTTAAACGTTTTTTTTTTCAATTATCTTTAGTTACACATCATTCTTGAATTATTAACTATGTAATACTTTTTAAGTTCATCCCTTATGCCTGGTAAGGGTGTCAACTTTCATGGTAAATCAACTTAAATGGTAACACATATTTTTAATTTAACAAATATAGAATAACAAATATAGGTAGCTAATTGGTTTTTTATGACATCGATATTAGCAGGTACACAGCATTGTTATTATCAATGATAGTAAGGTACATTGTTGTGAGTTTATAAATATACTAACTGACAATACAAAAAGTATATCTATTTATAGTCATAATTGATAATAAACAATCCGTGACTGTGATAGCAATATCATAAAAAACCAATTAGCTACCTGTATTTGTAATCCCTTGTGTATTATACCTATATATTAACTCAAAAATTTGAAACTTTAAATGTTTATATCTAATAAACAAATTAAGTTTTATTAAAAATTCAAATGCCATTTATTATTGAATTAAAAACTCAAACATTTTATTAAATTAAAAATATGTGTTACCATTTAAAAAAACAAAGTTGACACCCTTACCAGGCATAAGGGATGAACTTAAAAAGTATTACATAGTTAATAATTCAAGAATAATGTGTAACTAAAGATAATAATAAAAAAAAATTTTTTAATTATTATTATTCTATAAGTAATTGAGTGGGTTATGATAAAAAAATCACTCTGTATATATAGAAATAACGTTTTATTGTTTATTATTAGATATAAACATTTAAAGATTCAATTTTTTTTGAGTTAATATACATGTATAATACATAAGGGATTACAAATACGGGTAGCTAATTGTTTTTTATGAAGATTATCACAGGAATATAGCCTTTATTATCAATGGTAGCAAGACATATTGTTGTAAGTTTATAAATACACTATTTGGCAATACAGAAATTATATCTAATGATAGTCATAATTGACAATAAACACTCCGTGACTGTGACAGCGATGTCACAAAAAACTAAAAAGTGAAAAATAAATATAGTTTTTTTATTATTACTAGACCTTTCTCGGCTTCGTATGTTGCTATTTAATGGATGAATATAAAAAATTCTTTATGATACTTTATGAAGAACCTAATAAAAGTTCTTTAAATTAAGAAAAGTATGTAACACTATAAAACAAAAAAAAATTATCCATATTATTTTATTGATTAAAAGTTACTAAGTATAAGCTAATTTTTCAACTTATAAAATTAATATCAAACGCTTTATATTCACTTAACCCATCAACGCCTGGCGTCCCCATATGGTGACATTCGTATTGCTATTTTTATCGCGCGTTCTTAGAATAATAATTTAATAGGTATAAAAGCCGAGTGTACCCATATGGTGACACTCAATATCTCAGAAATCGTATTTTCAAAAAATTTAAAAATAATTTTTTTTTATTTATGTGTTGTATATTAATCTGTTTTTAGTAAAAAAAATAGAAAGTTTGAAAAAAAATAATTCTCGGCGTTGATGGGTTAAGTCAATATTAAGCCGTTATACTTTTATATGACCACCTACCAAACTAAGTATTTTCATTTATAATATGTAACATATTAATATAATAAATTCTTGCAAAAAGAACTTCAACTTAGTTATTTTAAACCATTCTCATAGTATATTTTAAATAATGCGTTATGTTCCAAATAAATATTTATTTTAAAAACTCTCGAAAAATCATGCGTTTTTATGAAAAATATACAATTTAATTTTAAAACTTAAAATATTTAAACATTAAAAAATATTTAGGGGTTAGATTAAGCATTAACGGATGACATTTTTCTAACTCTAATTAACGATTTTATTTAAAATTTAACTATACATTACATATGATGCAACAAAATTAAAATTCATCATTTTAAAATACATATACACATCAGTTTTACATCCTTCTATTTCCCGAACTTAATATACTACAGAGGGTGGTGGCCCTCTTTCACTTGTTAGGGAGTCAAAAATGGTTTTAAGTTAGGCCAATGATGGACGGGACGCGTATTTTGGCCGGCTTGCACCAGAGACCAGACACAACCAATGAGAAAACCATAAGTAAAATCTCGTTGGCACCTTGGGATGAAACCCGGAACCCAGTGCACCAAAACAAACGTTTATGCTTACTAAGCCAGACCAACCCCTAAAATGTATCATTTGAAAATAATTAAATATATATATATTCTAATCAGTATAAATTATTTTAAGTTTTCAAAAAACAAAAATTACATTAAACATTTTTTTAAGACTGATATTTAGTTCTTTAAATTACTAATAGTATAAATTAATTCGATTAATTTGTCGTTTGTTATTCGTAAAATTTATATATATACATATATTATGTATAATTAATCTTTTAAATGTATAGATTCTGTGGTCCTGTCTCTTACCCAAGGATCTGGTGAAGTTACTTTAATGTTTCTACTGGTGGCTGGATCCTTATATTTATGCTCTTTAGACGTTTCCAACGAAGCCCTGCAAAGAGGGTTAGTACTCTTCAATCGGGGTTGGCGAGATAATGATGGTGAAATCGGTAAATCAGATGTTCTACAATCCCACGTTGCTTTTCTTAGGTTGAGATTTGTTTGTTTCATATGACAGACTAAAGTAGTTTGAG